GTTTCTGGGCAGATATTGGTGGCAAATAGGTCGGTCACAAATTGGAGTGAGGGTTTGTATTCATTTTCAATTGATGATGATGGTTATTTTGTTGCTTATATGGAATCAGATCCTGCTCAATTATATTACAGATCCAAAAAGTCTCAATTAAGAACAGGGGGGTTTTATGCTGAGCTGACTAACACAAGTTTTGGAGCTAGCCTTTCTCCAGGTTCTGGATTTAGTTTTATACAACTAGGGTCTGATGGGAAGTTGAGGTTCTTCGGATGGGTAGAAGTAGAATCAAACTGGAAGGAAGTTTTTAATTTGCCTGAGAACCGATGTGATTACCCACTAATGTGCGGTGAATATGGAATTTGTTCAGCGGGAAGATGCAGTTGCCCAGAACCAGATGAAAACGGGACAACGTACTTCTGGCAGCTAAATCGTTCGCAGCCAGAACTCGGTTGTTCTCCATATATTCCAATATCATGTGAGTTTCCTTACCAGCACAGTCTTCTTGAACTCAAGAATGTTGATTATCTACCCAGAACTAATTATCACATAACAGACATAGAGAGCTGCAAGCAAGGCTGTTTAAACAACTGTTCTTGCAAGTATACTCTTTTTATACCTGATAGTAATTCCTCATCCCTTGGGCATTGCTTGTTTAGATCTGAAGCCTTTGCATTCCAGAGCGCAGATACTTCTTACAATCAATCTCTGTTTTTAAAGGTGCAAAGTTCAATTGTGAAGCCTCCCATCTCTTACATTAACAACATCTCCGACTCTAGTTGGGAATCAGAAGAGTTAACACTGCAACCTTTCCTTGTCAATGGGAATTTTGTTTGTGGCTTCCACTGCAAAGTTGATACTAAAAACAACACCTGCCTCTTTGCCATCTCCATCTTCCACTCCGATTCCACCCCTTATCCAAATTTTAAAATGGTATGGTCTGCTAATCGAAATAGTTCGATTGGACTTGCGGCAAAATTGCAATTTTCTCAAGAAGGGGATTTAACACTGCAAGATGATCATGACACTCTGGTTTGGTCTACAAACACAACAGGTAAATTTGTTTCAGGAATGAAGTTAACTCATCAGGGTAACCTTGTACTGTTTGATAGAAACAATGACACAATTTGGCAGTCTTTTGATCATCCAACAGACTGTTTAGTTCTCGGACAGAGGCTTGTTTCAGGGCAGAAGTTGAAAGCTAATACGTCAGCCACAGATTGGACGGAGGGTTTATATTCATTTTCAATTGACAGTTCTGGGAGTTATTTTGTTGCTTCTGCAGGGTCAGATGACACCCTAAGTTATTACAAGTCATTTATTTATGAAATAAAAGGCGAAACAGGGCAGTATTATGTTGAATTCAATGACATAAATTTTGGTGATTCAAAGTTTCCAGGACCTGGAGTTAGTTTTATACAATTAGGCTTTGATGGGCACTTAAGGTCCTTTGGGTGGGTGGAATCAGACTGGAAGGAAGTTTATGATTTGTTTAAGAACAGACTCAATCGATGTGATTATCCACTGGCGTGCGGAAAATATGGAATTTGTTCATCGGGATCAGCGGGAGGATGCAATTGCCCAGATCCAGATGAAAACGGAATAGCTCACTTCAAGTGGATAAATCCTGATCAACCAGATCTTGGGTGTTCCCCATATGTACCAATATCATGTAGGTCTCCTTTCCATGAAAGTCTTCTTGAGTTCAAGAATGTTAATCCCATTGCTTTCAGCTTTCTAGGTAATTCTAATATAACAGACATAGAGAGCTGCAAACAAGCCTGTTTAAACAACTGTTCGTGCAACTATGCTGTTTTGCGAAGTTCTGGTTATAGTGATATACCACTTACCCAGTGCTTCTTTGGATCTGAAGCTTTGTCATTCAGAAAAGAAGTGGATGTATATTACAATTTATCCGTGTTTTTAAAGGTGCAGAGTTCAATCACAGGGCAGGGCTCTCCAATCGCACCAAATCCACAAAGGAATCCTTCATCACCAGCTCATTTTCCACAAAGAAAGAAAAGACAGAATGTGGGAGTCATACTTGCAATCACCCTTGGAGCCACTTTTATTGGGTTTCTTATCTCCGCTGTCTTTTTACTACAAATTAAAAAGAACCCAAAGGATGTTGAGGAGGATTATCTGGGTCACATCTCAGGAACACCCACGAGATTCTCTTATGAAGAGTTAAAGATTGCAACCAACAACTTTAGCAACAAGCTAGGTGAGGGAGGATTCGGTTGTGTTTTTCAAGGAACATTACCCTGTGGTGCTCAAATTGCAGTGAAATGCCTTGATGGTTTTGGTCCTGTAAAGAAGTCATTTATAGCTGAGGTTGAGACCATAGGAAGCATTCATCATTTCAACTTGGTGCGATTGGTTGGGTTCTGTGCTGAGAAATCACGTATGCTTTTGGTTTATGAGTACATGTGTAATGGGTCGTTGGATCAATGGATCTTCTGCAGAGACAAAGCGCTTGCTCTTGGTTGGCAATGCAGAAGGAAGATCATTCTAGAGATAGCCAATGGTCTAGCATATCTTCATGGGGGATGCAGGCAGAAAATAATTCACTTGGATATAAAACCCCAAAACATCCTTTTGGATGAAAGTTTCAATGCCAAGGTTTCTGATTTCGGGTTGTCTAAGCTAGTAGGGAGAGAGCAAAGCCAAATTGTGACAACAATGAGGGGAACACCGGGTTATATGGCCCCAGAATGGTTGAACTCAGTGATCACAGAAAAAGTAGATGTATATAGCTTTGGCATTGTTGTTCTGGAAATTTTATGTGGTAGAAAAAATGTTGATCGATCTTTACCGGAGGAGGATGCCCATTTGGTAAGCCTTTTTAAGAGAAAGGTTGAGGATGGTCAATTTCTGGATCTAGTGGATAAGTACAATGAGGAGATGCAATCAAATGCGGTAGAGGTAGTGGAGATGATGAAAGTTGCGGCATGGTGTCTGCAAGGTGAATATGCTAAGAGGCCTTCAATGTCCATCATAGTGAAGTTCCTAGAGGGCAAAATGGATGATGAAAACGAATATGATTTCTCAAATCCACCACCACCGGCAGAAGTTGAAACCCACGGACACCAAATGGATGCAGCTGCAATTACTGCCTCTCCATTAATTCCATCTATTTTATCTGGTCCAAGGTGATGATATGGGGGAAGAGAAGACAACACGTGCTGCAATGGTAATACTTCATTTCTTTTTACTTTCTAGCTTCTGTTTTCTGTTCCAGAGCAGACAATAGAATGCAAATTACTGCTAGAATTCTTAGCTTGTGTTATAATATCTTTGAATTCATTGACTTATTTCTTATATCTAACTACCTAATTAGCCTATCTTCCTTTATACATAATGCATTTTGATGGTAATATTTTATTTTTCAGAGTTTCTTGCAAGCCAAAATGAATTAGTTTTAACTGAAAATTTGTCTTTCACTTGTTTAATAAAAACATTCTCATCACATTTTTTTATTTTAATCTTTTTCAGTGTTTGCTCGATCAACTTCATTTCTTCCTTCCAAATGCTAAGCAATTGAGAAAGACTTGACCACTTAATTAGCAGATCCAGGGTTAGAGATTGACGCTGAGAGAGAAACCGAGCGTTTATGGTGATATGTGTTGCCGCTTGATTACTAAATTTTAGATCAATAATTCTCTTTCTCATATTTACAGTTACAGTGTTATGATCTAAATTTCATACACCTTAAAATTAATTTTTAGTTGGCAATTTTAAAAATATATCTCATATCGATCTTATATATTTAAAAAAAATAAATTTTTGGAGTGTTAATATTAAAACTTAAATTTTAAACTTAATCTATAAAATGATACTTATTTATGGAAAAATCTAACGCCTGATTAAACTAATAATTCTCTTATCGTTTCAGTTTTTTAACTCTTCATGCCTGTGCCAATTGCTTCAAGTAATTGTTTTTCCATTTTCGCTTATTTTATTTAAATTTAATGACTCTAAAAAATATAAAAAGTGTTGATAAGTTAAATATGCCAAAAAAAAAATTAAGCTTGAAAATACTGAAAATTATCATTTTAATAAAATATTACAAAAAATACTAATAAAACAATATTATTCATACTTTAAAAAGCAATACGTTTTAGCTTTTTTTAATGAAATCTTATTAAAATAGTATAATTCTAGAGTTTTTTTTTATCAATTTTTTACTAATACGGCCAATAGACATTTTTTCATAATATATATACTCTTTTTGTTTTTTTTAATAAATTTAATTTGACTTTTGATTTTTTAAATAAAAATTTAACATATTATATAAATAATAATTAAAAATTTTAATTAAATAAAAATACTTAACAAGA